AATCTGAAGCCAGTATTTTTCAGTGACCACAGCTTAGTGACAGTTAGTTCGGGAAGCACCTCGCAACCTAGAAAGAAGTTTAATTGGGAACTGTGGAAAATTAATGTTAAACTGCTCAAAGATGATATTTTCGTCGAGCGTGTGACACAGGCCTTAGAAACATTATCAGCGAGGATACAGCTCAGCTTTTTAGAGAAATGGGAATAGTTTAAACAGAAAGTTAAAGAGCTCGCAATTGAAAGATCCTCTCAGAATAATTTTTTGGCTAAGAAAGAAAGAAAAGAGCTTCATGGATAAAAAAAATTCTGCGAAGCGAAAGCGAGAACCCGGGGTCACGCGCCGCAGAATTAAAGCACATTAAAGCCAAGCTAGACAGTTTCCAGCAGGAAAGTTATCGTGGAGCGGTCATACGTTCGCGATCTGAAAGTTTCTTGTAGGGGAACGGCCCACAAGGCGCGCTTTGGGCGAGGAAAAAAAGTTTGCGTTTGCGAAAGAAATTTTAGCCATCGAACACGAAGGACTTAATCAGCAATGACAAGGCTGTAATTCAGTACACCTTTTTGAGGTATTATCAGAGACTCTTCGGGGGCGATAAAAAGACAAAAAGCCAAGCTGCTCTCGATTACTTGCCTCGTAACGCGCCAAAATTATCGCAAGAGGAGAAAGAATGGCTGGAAGGACCAATCACAGAAGGCGAGGTAAAGCGCGCGATTGACATTTTGCCTATGCACAAAACGCCAGGACCGGACGGACTCAGCGGAGAGTTTTAGAAGAAATTTAAAAATTATATGCGTCCTTTTCTGCTCGAGGTAATTCGTGGAGCTTTCGAGAATAAAACGTTGCCACCTTCCTTTTTACAAACGCACATAGTACTGATTCCCAAGACAGAAGACGTTAAGAAGCAAAAGCTCGTTAGCGGATACCGCCCGATCACACTCTGCAACGTGGATTATAAAATATATGCGAAGATTTTAACTGAAAGGCTTCAAAGCGTTATTTCTATATTGGTGGGAACACACCAAACATGCGGCATCAAAGGAAGAACCATCCAAAGTAACATCCATGTAATCCGTACTATTCTCGACTTATGTAAGTCGGAAAGGAACCAAGTTGCAGTTATTCAGATATATCTAGACAAGGCATTCGACCGCGTACGTCACGATGTTCTTCGGAAAATGTTAGCTCACGCGAATTTGGGAAAGATAGTACTAGAGGGGGGTAAGAATGGCGTATACAGGATGCACGACGAAGCTGGTGGTGAACAATGTTTTAACACCCAAAATACGAGTGCTGTCTTCAGTGCGGCAGGGCTTCCTTTTGTCTCCGCTCACGTTTGCCTTGTACCTGGAGCCTTTGTGCCTAAGTATATTGCAGAGTGAACTAGTACGTGGGTACGCCATGGGAAAGTAAAAGTCCTCGCGTACGCGGACGATATAGCGGTCTTTCGTGCAGATAAGAAAAGCGTCGGGCATGCTTTAAATTTGTGCAGAGCATTTTGTGACGCTACTGGTGCGGTGATTAACATGAACAAATGTAACGGCTTATGGCACGGCGAGGGGGCCACTACGCTCCGCCAGTTTGAAGGCGTTCAGTGGAGCTGCGCACCTGGCAGGTACCTCGGTGCTCCCTTTCAGCACTTAAAACACCCTTCAACTTACTGGAATAATGTTACGGCCGAACTGAAAGATCGCACATCAAAATGGAATTGACTTGACATGTCCATCTTTACGAGGTCCACAGTGTGCAATATGTTCTTGACTGCAAAAGTGTGGTTTGTGCTTCAAGTTTTGAACTGTTCGCGATTGAATATACAGAAAATTTACCGTGTTTTTGCATTGTTTGTGTGGAAGAGCGCAGGAGAGCAAATGCGAACAGACAATCTCTTTCGACGCATATCCAAGGGCGGTCTCGGACGGCCTCATCTGTTTCTCCGTCATGTTGTCTCGCGTTTCCTTTTTCTACGAGACCAGACTAATCCACTTATACAGGTGATGCTTCAAACAAGGCTGGTCCAACACATTCCTTCCTTTTTTGTGTCTTCCCACATTGGCTCTCCTGCTAAATTAGTGGGCTTCGTAAAAGAAGTGGTTGATTCTTTTAAATTTCTGACGGTGAGGTACTCGCTCGAATATTTATCCAATGTTTCGCGCCGAAAATTGTACCGCGACCTTATCGATAATTTGTTTCCGGCACCGCTGTGCAGATCTCTTTATGCTGGTGAACCAGGGCAGGACGTCCTAGTTCGTGTGAAAAAAAAAGTGTATTCCTCCGTCAGCCAAAACCTTTTTCTTCCGAGTCCATAGCGACACCCTGCCTGTCAAGCTTTGAATGGGCAAACGAGGCATGATTGTCCCAGGGGGTGTCAACTGCCCACAGTGCAAAGTCCCCGAAACTATCGAACATAGTTTTTTCTACTACTGGGACGCAGTGTTCTTTTGGGGCATCCTGCAAGGAACTTTAAAAAAAGACCTGTGCTTAACACCCCGTTCTATTCGTTTTCTACCAATTGGAGTAAACGAGAACCTTCCGCTAGACATGATTATGGTTCTTGGGTTGTTTAGCTTGTGGAAGTCGCGGATTACGGTAAGACACGCAGAGCAATTCCCTCGGTCAGCGCGTATTTTCTTTATTGATTATGTTGTACAGGTAAAGAGTGCTTACGAACAGAGCGAATACCCGCCTGAATGGATTAGAGTGTTTGATAGCCTCACAGGCATGAAGGAATTTTAATCACCATCCGCCCATAAGCACTGGGTTTGCTCATTTTAAAAGTGTAAATAATGTGTGAATGCATGTATGATTGTGTCTGTATTCCTGAATAAAGAAATAAAAAAAATTCAGTAGCTCAGTGGGAAGATGTTCGCTTCCCAAGCAGCGGGAGCGGGTTCGATCCCTATTAGGGGCGTACAATTTTTTTTCAAACATTTTGCAATGTCTACATTTCTTTTATCGTTTACAACTATCACTGAAAAAAAAAAAAAAAAAAACACAATCGTTGTGGAAGATACGTCACTGAACTGAATGGTATGGGATTGCATTTTTGACACCTGCGAACTCAATGTGGTCACTTTCCACAAAATGCAAGGACCATATGAAATGGGTGGAGTCCGCTTTCCGAAGTTCCCGTAACTGTTCTACAGGGATTGCAGCCAGCCATTGATCCCGACCCCCGTTGATCTTTCGGAAACTTGTGCACTCTGCCGCACAATATGCCACTTTCAGATGCAGGACATGTGAAGCAGTTCTACACGCAACACCTTGGGAGTATTAGCGGCGAGATGTTTTGGTGGCGCCCTCCTATGGTTCCCCTTTGTGACGTCATTACCTTGTGAACAACAAGTTCGATGGTGTTTGTAAATAGCATGGCGGAAGCCTGAAATCATTGCGCTCTCAAAGCAACATTGCCAACACCGTCGAAATTAAAGTTCTTTCATTCCTCTTATTTCCGTCGATGGTATACCCTTTCCGACGTCATAGTCAGCTTTTGGGCCAATCGTGGAAGGCCGACCACAGCGACGCTTTCGGTCGCGCACGTCGCTTTCGAAGCCGATCACGGGAATTCACCACGAGCACTCACTACAAATTGGCAACATTTAAATGTACAAAACAACTCATCTTGAAGTACAGAACAGCGAGTGGAACAAACATAACTGCAAAGGAATCGCACGGCAAACGGATTCCGCATCGCATTTTGTCTGCTGCGCACGGAAGAAAAAAAAAATCGCACGGTCGGGTGTAGCTACGTGACCTCCGCCCACTCGCTCTCTCTCCTCTCCACTTCTCTGTGCGGTGCGAGAGTTTCGGCTTCAGTTTCGGGCAGTTGCGTTTTTAAGCTTTATTAAAAAAAATACGTGACTCGGTAGCAAAATAATAGAGAGTTTTAGCTTACCGCGTACCGGGCGACCGCCGGGGTTACCGCGACCGCGACCATCGAGCCGGTACCGGACCGAGAGCGTAGCGGGTAAAGAACGTTTTACCGCCGAATTCATAGATGTCACTCCGAGTCATGCCAAGTGAAGGGCGACCCTTCACTTACAGAAGGGCGGTTGAAGGGGCACTTCCACTTGAAGTGAGGTTTACCATTCTGAAATGGCACTTCGCTTTCACTCGAGCAAGTGAAGGGAGCCCTTCTACGGGATGCGTCCGGGAGCGAGAGTAGAAAAGAAATTTATATTTATACTTTGCGTAAGACCACAAAAGTAAGTTAATTCTTAGTGTGTTTACATAATTTGTGTTTATAAAGAAATATTAGCACATAACAAACATGTTGCGATTTCAGAAACGAACGTAGCTCGTGCATCTTCTTTCAAACTAAATTGGCCAGCAATATAGCCATCAATATCCATGCTGAATACATTCCAAGTCCTTCCGATATCCTTGTTCCAACGCCACCACCGCCGTTGCCTTTTCGTGTTTACTTGCCCTGCTGGTTTGTTCTTTTAAAGTTTTCATTTCCGTAGCGTGTAATGGATAAGGCCAAGGCACCCGCTGCGCGGTTCACAGAGATCGAAAAGGCAATACTGATGGAACTTGTAATGACGTACAAAAAAATCATCGAATGTAAAAAGACCGACGAATCGTCGTTAAACAAAAAAAAGGCAACTTGGATTCGACTCTGCAACGAGTATAACTGCAACCACGGTGTATATCGACGGGACGTGAAACAGCTAAAAAAATGGTGGGAAAATGTGAAGGCCAAAGCGAAGAAGGACCATTCCAAAGAAAAAAACAAGGTCCACAAAACAGGCAAGTCTCTCGTTCAGGTTTCTCATCGCGCTGAAAGTGCCTCGGAATGAGCGATGGGTCACATTTGTAGCCCGAACTGTCGTTCACAAATTCGCCCTTGTTTCGAACTGTTGTTTCTGGAATACCTGTCATGGGGGATGGAGCGTGAACGTGCGCAGACAAGTCGGTTATGCAACCTAATGCTGTCAGTTGAATACCGTAGTAACCTGACAATGGAGCAGCATGAACGGAACCTGAGCACGATATAATACTACCGTTAAATCAGTAATTCTACTTGCAGTTTTTGCGGCGGACATGTACAGTAGATCACAACTGACAACACCCAGATGCTCAATATTTCATTTCATTACGCATGGGGCAGAGGGGATGAACATTCCCTATCAGCAAATGCATGCCTATAAATCGGGGTATATTTAAAAAGGAAAACAGATCTTAGATAACATTAGAACTTGGAGTGCCTAGATTGACTACTGTTTGCTCCTTTAGGAGGGGGGCCACCTGGCAAGCCAATGAGCGCCACCTCCGTGCTGGTTGGGGCGGTGGCCTCACACGTGTTCAACAGACAAGAAAATATGGAGGACAGCGATGGGGCACCCTATCTGCCCCCGGTCTGCAGCCTCCCAGTTCTCCGACTACTGCAGCCGATGCTGGACGGCGAGGAGGACCCTCTTGATGCCGACTTGGGTAGAATGCTTGAACCGTTTCCATGTCTTGACCTGTACTTTCTAAACTGGTACCTTTTCGTCTTTACCCACTGATCTTCTCATGGATATGCATGGATACGGTTATAGATCATAATGAGTCTGCCTTCAGAAATGTTTCACCTGGTGTTCCTCAGTAGTACATACTGGCACCCCTACGTTTTTTAATAATCATGAATGACCTTGCAGCAACCATCTCATCTAATATTAATCTTGTTGCAGATGACTGTGTCGTCAATAACAAAGTAAAAAGTGTGCATGACAACATTCAATTTCAAGATAATTTAGTAAAAATGAACAAATGGTGCGAACAGCATGTACATTACTTATGTACAAGGTAACATATATCATTGCAGGGCTGGGTTCCATACAGCTTCAAAACAGTACATGGCAACTACTGCAGACTAACAATGACCATACTCCCCTGACAAAGAAACAAACAGCACAGGGTATTAAAATAATCATAGCATGATTTCTGCCAAGAAATATCTATACCAAGCACTCCAAAAGGTGGAAACGGTTAAGTGATCTAGTGGCCTAGTTTATGGCACAGGTTCAAAATGGATGAAAACATTGTTACACATTAGATCAGCAGCAGAAAAAAAAAATCAAATACTTCAAATTGCAACTGCATGAAAAACAAAAATACAATCTCAAACTTATAAAAACCCTTTCTACTCTTCATGTATGTCCCATTGTTCACTTCATAACTTCTACGTGTTCTTTCAATTGCAGAGGAGCCCGGTTCACCAGCTGGGCCTGCCTCAGACGTCGGTGCACCACTGTCACCAGCGGCTGCCTGCATCGCTGATAGACCTGCAGCAGCCCCAGCAGCTTGCCTGATTAGCCAGACATCTACTGCAGGGTCACCAGCTCCTACACCTGCGGCTGCTGCAGCGTGCAACAGTGGTAGTGCGGCAGCAGCTGTGGGCAGTGGTGCCCGCCAGGTCGGAGGACGCATGGCGCTGCTGGAAAGGAGCCTCGCAGAGGAAAACGATATGAGGATGGCCTTTGTCCAGCAGGAGCATGCCCTGCGCTGCAACTTCCTTGAACAGGACCACCGCGACGCACTCAGCAAGAGAGCTGCGCTGCATGAAATGGAAATTAAATTGCGCGAGGACGAGCTGAAAAAAAGAAATGCCATTCACGAAATGGAGATGAAGCTCCTGTGTATCAAGGAAAACATACTGCTGCAGGAGCTGAGCCAGAAGGCTGCACAATAAATCATGTTCAAACTGCTATGCCTGCTTTACTGATGGTTCACTTTTAAAGTCAAACTGAAGTATCACACACTTGGAAGTACGACTCCTCACCTTCATGGCCTGTGTGATGGGCCTCTTGAGCCTACGTGCAGCTCACGTAAAGCTCAGCAGAATGATGTTCTGCCGGATACGCAGACCCGAAGGAGAGTCCTCCGGGAGAATCGGTGGCAGGTGTGGCTGCCGCCGCCTTCTGGCATTCCGTGCCCTGGGACTTGGTGGCGGGGGTGGAGGAGGAGGTAGGGGCTCATTTCTTGCACGTCCCAGATTATGCAAAGCCGCACACGCGGTGATGATGCTGCATGAGTGGCGAGTCTTGTGCTGGAGCCGCATATCCAAACAGGGAAATCGTCTCTTCCAGACCCCAAAGGCCCTCTCGACGGAGTTCCTCGTTCGGATCTGGGCCTTGTTGTACCTAAATCAAATTATAAGGCATGTGATCGATTTTTAGGCATCTGGGAACATACTTGCAATCACTGTATTTTCTTTTTCAGTATGGAAATGCAGGTTGACATTCTTTTGTCGAGGTTAGATATGTTTTATTGACAACTTTTCGTGCACGGACGGCTTCATGATACTGTTGACATCTCATGGAAACTTTTTCGTTCTTGCGACATTTCGTCGACAAACGTTTTCTTCTGCTAGGTGGATTGAATTTAGTGGTCGCGGTCGTCAAATCTTATGATTTTTTTTTCATTTGCCTAATGCTGAAAAAGAAAAATTAGACTGAATTTACTTTTTAGTGAATGAACCACCGACGGCGGGGCAAGCTATGTCTTAAACAGACCACACGATCACACCTCGCTTTGCTCCGCTCTGCTAGGGGAAATGGTTCATTAGCGATGTGCGCGACCAAAAGCGCCGCTGCGGTCAGCTTTCGACGATTGGCCAAACCGTGGGCATATGAGCATTGTCAGATTGTCAGCTTTGACGGTGTTACTTTCGGATTGCAATGACTCCTAGCTTCCACTGTGCTTTTTAGACACACCACCGAAGTCGTCGTCGCACCTGACGGTAAGTAGACAGGATAACAACTGGTGACGTCACGTCGAGGCAAATCCCACTCGTGACGTCACGGATGGAAACCATAACAGGGCGCCATTGAAACATCTCGGTGCTAAAATAATCTCAAGTTCGAGCTTGCACCAAGCATTGTCGAAACCGCCAAGGGTTCGGCAAGGTAGGAAAGAACATTGGATATCGGCGAAGTGATCTGTCCATGAAACGCTTGAAGAACTGTTTGTCACCGGCAATGACTGCCTGCTATTACAGACATTAGTGATGTTGTCAGTGCAGTACCAAAACAAATCTTATACTTCTGCCGATGATTTGGCTCACCCAGACTTGTACACGTTACTGAAAAATAGTAAGGAATTACATTTACAATTACTCGAGGCTAAAATGTAATTTATTACAATTACAATTACCCTCCCATGAAAGTAACTGACCGTTACCCCAAAAAGTAATCCGTTACTTTCGTGGCGTTACTTTTAACATTATCGCCTTCAAGTAAGAAACAAAGGGAAGAGGGTTATTCAAGTTCTTATTGTTGCCACCTGTTCCATTTAATGACCTTGAGCATTTTGAGCAACAGCTGGCTCTCGAAAGTCTCGTCAGACATTTTGCATTATCTCTTACTCAATATGTCGACTGCTACGCTGAACACAATTTGAACTGAGGCACTGGATGGGAGTGTCATACTGTTCCTCACGAATGCTTCATGCTCTGCATTGAGCTTTTTCAGCGAAGCAAGGGAAGTACTATTTTCCTCGCGAATGTAGTGCAAAGCTTCGTCGTTGCAGCCGTTGCCTGCTATTTGAGAGATTTAGTAGATCCTTCCGATACCTCCCATACCCGCGATAACGGTACCCGATAACGATATGATGCATACGCAAAGACGGCGGCGAAGTATCGGATATCGCTATCGGAGTCATCGGACCGATCTACTAAAATTCTCCATTATCTAAATCGCGAAGCTGTAGAAGTCATCAACAGCAAAACATAGTTGTAACAGTAAGGGGATAAATAAATAATAAATAAGGTTTGGCTCGATATTCTTTTTCCTTTGGTTCTGAACAGTTTGAGCCTCACTTGAGACGTTGGCGAATAAAAAAAAGTTTCCAGTATATAAATATAAGTAATAAAAGAAAAAGGACACTCATAACAACAATTAATTACAGCGTCGGTTAAAACAAGGAAATGTAAACGCACGTTTGTCGTGTGTACTTTTCTTGGTGCTGTTCAAAAACGCACGGAGCACGGACCGACTGCAGTTTACTCCGGTGTTCTCCAGATAGACGTCCGGTGATGCCACGGGCAGCGAAGGGCAGAGTACTAAGTAAGCCGCGCTATGGCCCCACTCACGAATTTCACTCTCTCCTCAAGCCCAGAATATCAAGTCTACGTCAGCCACCATTATGTTTTATTTGTAAAAATATCTGCTTGAGATAAGATGCCTCCTGCTGGGGCAAAACAGGAAGAAGAAGAAGTGCTCGCAAAAAGCTGACTCACAAAAAGGGTAGGGTAGACGGAGCGTCGAAGAGGCGCACAATCACTTGCTGTCTTCCTCTCCCCGTCTTCGATCGCAAAGAAAAAACAAAGGAACTAAAAAAAAGCGGAAATGACTTGCCCCCCCCCCCCCCCCTTTTTTTTTTGTAGAATTGTTCATTTGGATATTTTGACATTGATGTTAGGGTCTAAAGAAAAGATAGATTCAGGGGCTTGGTGTTGCAAAAAAAGGGTTTGCGGAACTGAAGAGTGCCAAGCCTCTCTTTGCGCTGGTCGATTCGCGTGACAGTGTCACTAAGCTCGACTTTACAAAAATGAAAAAAAAAAAAAAAAAACTTTATTTAGAATTGGGGGAGGGGGGGGGGGGTTGGTTCTGTCGAAAAAAAAAATGTAACGGATTACAAGGAATCCGTTACGTAAAAAATGTAACGGAATTACTTTAAAATTACTCTAGAAAATATGTAATTAATCCGTTACTAAATTACTGATAAATGTAAGGGATTACAAGTAATTTCGTTACTTGTAACGGATTACGTACAAGTCTGGGCTCACCTCCCTCCGGGACTATTTGCCGCTCCAGGGTTTGCGAGCGGCGTCATCAGGAAAGGGAGACAGGCATAGCCCATATCCCCCAGCAGGACGCCGGGCACTCTGCTCTCCTCGTAAAGGGCACGCGCACGACTGCCATCAAAGGTGCGGCTGTCGTGCACAGATCCTGGCCAACTTGCCACAACATCAAAGAACTGTAGCTGTGGGCCGGTGATGGCCTGCAGGTATATAACATTGCATTAATACGGCAATTTGGGCCAGTTGGCTCATGCTCGAAAACAAGTGAAACAACTGCCCCCCCCCCCCCCCCCCCCCCCCCCCCCCCGGGGCTGGCTACGTGCCTGTTGCCCGTAAATAACGTCGCATATGCAAGCTAGGTATAGGCTGTGCAATGGCTATTTCGAGCGGGCCCAGAGGTGTACAATAAGCAGCAACAACACAGCTGATGAAAGGGTTTCCCTATGTTTTACAATGATCGGGTTGAACAGCTGAAATCGTTTTGCGTGAGCATTACCCATGCTTCCCAGCCTGGCAGTTTAGTAGGCAAGCTACGTCAATAAAGGGGGTATAAGAAATATGAGCTCACCTGGACGTTCAGGGAGAAGACTCCTTTCCTATTGCGATAAACTTCCGCATCATCTCCGCCGGGGCTTCTGATGCGCACGTGGGTGCAGTCGATGCAACCCGTGACGCCAGGAAACTGCCCCATTGCGTAGAAGTCGCGCATAACGCCGTGGTACTCCGACGCAGCCGGGAAGTGCACCAGCCTTCGGAAGAGCACCCTCGCGATGAGCGTCGTCACCGTCCTCACTGTGCGGCAGACAGTCGGCTGGGAGACATGCACCAGGTCTCCCGCTACCATCTGGAAGGTCCCGGCGCCGTAAAAGCGAAGGGTGACCAGCAACTGGAGCAGGGGGGTGAGCGGCAGTCCTCGGTTGTCGCCGGTTTGCTGGAGAGGCAGCAGCGTCAGGAGTTCCCTCACCGTCGTCTTCGTAAAGCGATATCTCGCGAGGAACTGGCGGTCACTGTACAGCTCCATCGGGTTCAGGCGGTCCGATAGATTACGCCGCGGCACCGACGGACCGAGCGGGTACATAACGCCGAACACAAGGTCGCACGCACGAGTAGCGAACTCAAAAGACGCGATCCTGCGAGCGGCATCACTCCGATAACCCGGGTAACCCGCCATCTTTTGCGATGAAGGGAGGCTCGAGTGTAGTTGAAGGGCGGTGCCACCGCTCACTTGAATTTTTTCGAGAAAAGTCCGAGTGAAGTGCGAGGCGAGGGAGCGTTTCGAGTGAAGGGGGATTTATGAAACGTAATGACACCCACTCAAGGGCGTTGGAAGTTAAGTTCGAGTGAAGTGGGATCTATGAATTCGGCGGTTAGCATACCGTAACCGCACCTGACCGCGCCTATGGAAGTTTCTTCTTTCTCCAGCGGCTGGAAAAAGTCATGATGATGATAGTGAATACCGGCGTGGTTCGTTTTTAAAGCGGTACATTTATTTGGACAAATGCCGCATAAAAAGCCACGTTTAAAAAATATTTTCCTCATTACGAGTAGTTATAGTGGTACTTCCTTGGTATACGACCAAGTAACTTAATTTGTCAGCTAAGCTGTTGGATACTGGTCGCGCCTCAAGCCAAACGCATCCGTCGTTGGATCCTCTACTTTTCTTTCATATATTTGTTTGTTCCCTGTGATAAAAAAACAAAACAAAAAACATGCGGTTACTTGAAGAGATTTGTGGCAACTGGTAATTTATTGGAGCGCGCAAATGAATAGAAAGCTTATTGGAACGAATGCAAGCCAAAAGAAAAAGTGAAATTGGTCGTTGTGTGAATATTTACACAGCGCGAGGTTAGTCTGCCTGAATTTGGCGATACTGTTTCTTCGCTGTAGATGGGCAGTGTGGCCAGTGCGGTACGACCGAAAACCTGGAATCTTTAACGTGCACCACCAGTCATGGTTATACGAACGCAGCCG